TTAAAAAGTTATTTAGAATAAACATTTTGCTTACTCTTAATTATTATGATATTTTAAATTAATTTCTTTTTTATGTATATTATGTATGCTTATACAAGTAAATAGTATGACCGTCATCTGTTGATGACATTTATTTATTTTTTTATATCCTTAGGTTACGCSTAACCTTAATGTATTTAAATTTGTTGAAAATTTTAATCAACAAAATGTATCAATCTTTATTTTTATTCTTGATGATTTCTGACATTTCAAACTTTTTAAAAATTATAGATATTTTCTAATTTAATTCTAAAATATGATATATGTTTAATTTAACTGGACTATAAATAAACATTAAAATATCTAAAACATAGAGTAGAGAAAAAAATTTGCATAGCACTTAATGGACTAGTATTGTATCATTAGCACCTATAAACCATTTGTTTACTCATGATTTACGTACGTTACCCCAGCCCCCCTCCCCCCAATTTGATTTTTGTAATTTTTTTGCGCCAGTACTCAATTCCTGCCAATTCCTGCCGCAAACCCCGGAATTCCTGCTCTAATGGTTTTCGGAAAGTCGAATTTTCCCCGGGTGGGGCTGGGGTAACGTTACTCCAGCCCCACCCACCTTCTAAATTTAACTTTTTGCAATTTTCTTTGCGCCAGTAATAAGTGCTCAATTCCTGCCAATTCCTGCCGCAAACCCCGGAATTACTGCTCTAAATCGAATTTTCGATATTGTAAATCAGTTAAAATTTTTTAATTTAAAATTTATAATTATTTTATATTAATTGAATTAATTTTTTTTTATATAATGCCAAATACTAATAAAATAGTATATTATAAAAATAAATAACAGTAAAAATTAAATTTGAAATACCTATGATTAAAGATTTGTTACCTAATTTATAATTATAATTGGTTTTTGCACGATTTTGCAAATTTCAACATTTTAGAAGAAAGTTTTTAGGTTACAGCTAAACATAAATCTGGTCTTTACTCAATTTAAATGTAAAATTTTCGGGAAAGTAACACAATATTCAATATTAGAAAGTTACGTATATAAAAACTACTAATTTTTTTTTCACATACAGTGTGAATTTTGTCAAATTATTCGACTTTGTAGAATTACAAATATTAAATAAGTCTTATCAGAACAATTACTTTTTAGTTTTTTTGCCAAAASTTTAAATTAAATTAAAATATCAAACAATTGTAGTCCTTGTCTATCCTTGTCAGTCTAATAAATAAAACAGAGTTATTAGTTATAATTTATTATTCAGACTTATTAAATAAGTATTTTTAAATGTGCCGATCTATGGTTGTTGTGATGAAAAATTTCCATGTCCTCCCAAATGATGCCACTGTTATCGGTGTCTATTATTTGATAGGTAGTAAATATATAGGTTAATTAGTTATTTTATAGCAACATTTTGTGGCTATTTGTAATTTGTATTCAATACATATATTCTATTTAATATAATATTTAGCTTGTCCTACATTTTTTAATATAAAAAGCGCACTTACCCRCTAATTCACTATTAGATACATTAAATTTGTTTTTGTATATATAGTTTATTATGCACTAGCCCTACAAGTACGGTACAGATATTTTTTTAAACYAAAAGTAAACATTATAAATATTTTTTGGACAATAATACGAAACAGAAAATTTGTGAGACTAATTGAAAAAAAAGCGGGTAAGTGGATGTCGCTCTGCTATACATTAGGTGGTGGGGTGGACCTCTGACTAGGGTAGGTTAGATTTGAATGCAATGATAGGTATCATTGTATACGAAAAACGATTCTGAACGGAGATGATTTGTCAGTCTAGGATATATTATATTTAAATGTTG